AACCTGAAAATATATGAATAAAATTAGTTTTAGCCACGGTCAACCAGCATTCAATTTGCACTCTTGTTTTAGATTTTGTCATAGTATAAGGAAAATAAAGGGTGACTTCAAATATCCATTCGCACTTCGTTTTCATCTCTTGGTTGTAAGAAAGATCTCTATTTTATAGAGCATAAATGGATAATAAAGAGTAACTTTTTGCTTAAATTGCGATGCATTTACTTTATTGTTAAACATAAACAAAAGCTAGAAAGGGATGCTAGTGGATCATGGCCCTTAATGAGCAAGCAACATCGGTCAAACTTAATAAGAGCAACCATAAGTTGCAGTTTTAACTGTCAGTCATGTAATTGGCATAAAGAAACAAAACAAACTATAACTGAAAGAGATTTAATTACAGACTATGCAGTTAAAATGCGCAGCCTTGCTTCACATACCTTTTTAAATCCTACACTAGTGGCAAACAAAGGCAATAAAGAGACATCACTAACACAGACTGCACTAGAGCATCCTGAGTTAGCAAGCTGTTGATGAAATAACACTTTGATTGATGACTCTTTATAGAATGAAAAGATTAACATAGACATCTTTCAAATAACAATAAAAACGGTGTAATAAGATGTCTTTAAAAGTATTAATATTAGTCTAATAGTTGATGACTTGACTGATCCCGATTCATTGTCCTACCTCCCTATAGTAACAGTTGCTATGTCAGACAAGCGAAAACATTCCTTTAATATAGAGCATGGAAAAGATGCTGATGGATGTGATATGTAGCAAGTTGCCTTGTGTTATATGTTTTTTACATTTTCATCAGGAGAAGCTAATGAATTTAGTAAAATTATTCGATAATGTGTTTGTTGCTGCTTTGACAGTTTGAATTCCACTGGGAAAACTGCTTATTGTTTAGCCTGTGTGCATCCGTTTTTCTTTTTTCTTGTTTTTTTTTTCGTTTTTCCTCCGTTTTTTGCTACTCATTGTTTGGTGATTAATCTATGCAAAGAAGAGATCTTTGCATTCTTTATGAAGTTTTGACATAATTTTAAACATCCTGTGGATCCATAGGAAGCCCAAACTAACCTTTGCAAGAGCTTTATCTATGGTTTTAYTTCGAGTAGAGTCATTCAACATGCAATATCTGTGCCGACTCCATGACGTGTGACCACCACAGGTGCAAACTGGACGCTCTACAGCAGCCTGTGGGCTAACAAACAATAAAATTCAAAACATTTACAATAAGAATCAATAGATGTATATTCAAAATCCTCCAAGAAAGGAAAAGAACAAGCCTGGCTAAACTAATGGTCTTAGTCTATGAATTAAACTTGCACAACAACACAAGGCTACATAGCATGTAGACTGGAATTTTAATMACTTGGCCTTGCTTGTTTTTAGCTGAGGTATTTTACCCTGGGAAAATCTTCCAAGTAAGGAAAATAACAAGRCCATTTAATTAAACCACATATGCGTTCTCAGGAAAGGAATTGATCCTTCACATCAGCAGGCTATGTTTCATGGAAACTAACATTTCAATTACTTTGCCTTGCTAGCACCAAATGCAATTTTTTTTAAAAAAAAAAAAGAACTCTCAGAGACTTAGAGAAAAGGAAATCAATGAACATACTAGTAATAGTAATTCATGATTTACTTCAAGAATAGAGTCATTGTGCATTACGTCACTCTGAACCAGAAAAATTCACATTTAGAAGAGAATGCTACCTTTGTTGTTGCTGCACATCAAACCATAAACTGTAATCATCATGACAACAATAMATTTTCAGTTCCTGACCTGAAAAATATATTTATTCAGGAATAAGAATATGATTAAAATAAATAGGGACTCAAATAGAGCAGTAAAAGTACCTTGCTTAACAGATAATGGCTGTTTTAGATAATAAACAGCTTGCATCCAGTGATCTCTCCACTAAATAAAACAAAACAAAACAAAAAATAAGTCATTTTCAAGAACCAGGAAATAGATTATTTTGAAATATAGTTAATTTATATTTACATTTTTTTTAAAAAGTACATCATGATAATCAGTTTTTTTTTCAAAAACCCTTGAAAAAATGATTAATACCAAAATAGTTGATTACTACTACATACAACACAATGAAATTTTACTTAATGAAATAATTCAATAATTATTTAGGTTACCACTTGTAATTCACTTAATAATTCCTTTATTCACCTGACATTGGTCCCCTTCGGGGTGTGCCCATTTTGGTGCCGTCTCCAATGTGATATCCCCATCAAGGTCCATGTCTAGTGACCACCACATTACTACACCGTGCGCCAAACCACTGCTTGTTGCCTTAGCAACAACAGAGTACTCAGCCACCTTATTTTCTTTCGAATCTTTACAATCTGGTATGGAGTAGATGTTTGGGCAGTTGGATTTGATTGAATTGTGGCAAAAATCAAACCTAACGTGAAATAACAACAATAAACAGCACTTCCAAGAGTATGTATTTATACCTCATTTATTTTACTGTGTTGCTTAGGGGGGAGAGACCCTAATAAAAGGGGGCAGTGGTCCTTGTTGGAAATTCTGAAAATGACCCCTTAAGGACTTTCGAGGGCATTGCTACTGCGCACGCTTTCTGCGCACGCCMAAACCGGAAGTTGTCACGAAATTGCATCACGCAAAACAAAGATGGCGACCGCTCTTGTTATGTGTTTATGAGGTTTTGTACGTACTTTTCTGAACTTCTACTTGAATGAAAAATGTCTTCGTGTTCAAAAAATGAGAGATTTACTACTGCTAAAGAATTGATGAGGCGAAAAAGTGTTGAAAATGCTCTAAAAAGTCGTAGATTGGCAGAAAAAAGTCTCTCGCAATTCAAGATGGCCTGCAAAATCTAAGATTTCAACACGAAATATTTTGACAACGAACCCGGTAACCCCAATTTCTATTTATCTTAAAAGAAGGCTACTTGGAAAAAATATAACATATGTGAAAGCGGAAAAAACGACAACAGAGGTTTCTAAAATATAGCAGTTTTAGCTGGAAATGACACCTATTCTTGACGTCGAATGTGGCGGCCTTACACGAACAAGAGTCCTAAAGAAATCAAAAATCACATCATGTAATGTTTCAAAGTCTCGTAAACAACATTAACAATTATCGCCCTCAGCTTTTGTGGAAAAATTYGGATCAATTGATATGTGTTTTATATTTTTCGGGAAGTTTTTTGGTAGACGGCATCGACCCCTTTTCGYGCGCTTTTMTTKGACAATTTTGGTGATTTTGTGCAAGAATTATCTCTAAAATGAAGCCGGTGACCTCCACTTTTTTATCGCTTTTTTGCAAGTTTATGTCATCGCGTATTTCCCCCAAAAATTCCATCGAATTGACATCACGGAATCCAATGCCAATGAACGTCCTTAAAGTGACTTGTATTGTGTGATGATAGTGATGGCATTGATGAAAGYTCATATCTAAAAGGTACTAATCAAGAACTTATAAATATTACTCATTACTTATTATTCAACTAATTAATCGTATGAGGAAGTGGCTGATCCCATTAAAGAGTGCTCAATACACATAAACAGGCATGTCGGAATTATGCGCGAAAAAAATCAAAATTRTKYRGAATTTTTTCCCCATATTATGCGGAGAAAAGGGTGAATTATGCGGAAAATTATGCGGGATGACGTCATCACAGGAACGTAAACTTTGGGAAATTTTACATATATTTAGGTTATTGTGTTTGTTTTTCATGCAAAACTCCGTTTTTATCTTAGTTACGAAGAGTACCAACAGAAGGAAAGATCTTGTTAGACTTTTTCGTTCTCGCACGCTTTACATCTCACTTATCATACGCCATATTGGAATTTGTCACGTGATCTDGTAAGGCACAGGGTGACCAGTAATGCTAGTGCCCAGACTCTTTTCTGATGAAATTTTGAACGCCTGGTACATTTGTGAAGCCGACGAAAACAAAACTATATTCGGAAAATTATAAGCATGTTTGGGAGCGTTTTTTGATCAAAAAAACAGTCAATGGACCACAAAAAACATTAGTAGAAGGCAAATCATCTTAAAAAATGGTATAACATGGGGAAAAAAACACGAATTATGCGGGATTATGCGCGATTTGGTAAATTATGCGGAAAGGGGGCAATTATGCGCATCCGCATCCGCGCATAATTCCGACATGCCTGCATAAAGTGTAGAGCTAGTTAAAATAGCTAGAAAATACTGTCTGATGAGTGCGTAGCACGAAACTCGGAGTTACAGCAAAATCTTGCCTCTTTGATATCATATATTCAACTAATTATAAAATATTGCTCATTACTTATTATTCAACATAGTAGTA